TAGTGATAGAAAAATACAATAAATGTACACTTAGAAAATCCCTTAACTAATTACTAATATAAAACTTCATAATTATGATGTTTAAATAATTGCCATTAAAAAATTTTTCCCCTTTCAGCCATCTTGTAGCATGATTATGATGTTTAATTAATTACTAATATAAAATTTCTTCCAGTTCCTTTTACATGCGAAAGGAAATAATACATCAGTTTTACAGGCTTAAAAGAAGAAAGTGACATGCGATTAAAAAAAAACTATTTTTTCTATAGAAATTGAGAAAAATTAAGATATTTTAATAATTAAAATATCAAAAGTAAGAATAAAAAGATTATAATATTTTCAATAAATTAATACCTAAAACAATTCTTTAAAAATATTTAAATTATCTCACAGTATTGAAAGGCAAGTGCGCATGATGTGTCATGTATGTTCTATATTTCAACAAGGTTTTCTTTTCTTAACCAAAAAAAAAAAAAAAAATTGTTCACTCCCTTCAGTTTTATTTAATTACGTTGTTTTTAAACAATTATGTTCATTCAATTAGAACAAATAAGACGTAACATTCAATGCGAAAGAAATAACATGCTGCTATTTTTTTAAAAAAAAAATTGATACCTTAAATTTAAATTATATAATATACTTATAAATATATATTATAGAGCAACCTACCAAAAAAAAAACACAAAGATTTAGTATGAAAGGGATTGCATTGCATTATTGATTTGAAAAGTGAAACCAAGGGTCTATAAAGTAGTTGCATTATTGATTTGAAAAGTGAAACCAAGGGTCCACGAAGTAATTGTGCTTGTAGACCAAGTCTTTTGAGTCTTAACCATTTCTTTTCTGCTTTACTTGCAGGAAAAGGCTCCTGAAACCACCAGTTTCTATAGGCCCTTTGGCAATTAATCTCTGTAGTCTGTAGGTCAGGTCTTTTTTTGGTTTTTCATTTTTTAACTGAAATTAAAGTAGGTCAGGTCTTCTGAATCTAAAGCTACTTTTTATGGTTGGATTTTCAAATCGACAACATTTTAGTACAAAATGTATATGAAAAGGTCTGCATTTTTATCGATGTAATGATTTAATGGCCGAATAATCCAGGTTTTTTTTGGGCTTTTAGGCGAACCAAGCAAAATTTTAAATATAAAAGGCTTTTTTATTTTTTAACGGGAATACAAATCCGTGTGATATTCTTTTTACCTCCACATGTTGGAATCAATTATCTTATGACATAAATAAATAATAAACAAACCAACAAAAGTTTGGTTGGTATTTATTAATTTTAAAATTTTAATTTAAAATTAAAGTCAAAAGTATAAATACATGCACTGTCAAATAATTAATTTTTAATGTAAAAAAGTATATATATTATTAAAAAAATTTTATTTAAATCATAAAATAAATGAAAAGGGATTTAAAAAATAAATCCATCTCATTCTATATATATATTGCAATTCATAATTTAACTTAAAAATAAAATAAAATAGAATAAAGTATTAATTGCAACAAACTAAACAATTGTCCTCACTCACAAAAAAATCGAAA